TGGAGGGGATCCCAGGCCTACAGGCAAAAGAAGTTGGGGGCGGGGGGGGGGGGGGGGAGGCGCCAGGCCTGCAGGGTGGGCTGTTAAGGGTGACCAGGCCTGCAGGAGAGGGCAGTTAGGGGTAACCAGACCTGCAGGGGAGGGCAGTTAGTGGCAATCAGGCTTACAGGAAAGCGGTTAGGGGGTGATCAGGCAGGCAGGCAGAAGCGATTAGGAAGGCAGGCAAGCAGTTGGGAGCCAGCAGTCTTGGATTGTGAAAGGGCTGTCCGACTGACAGTTGGGCATTCCTTAAGGGATCCCAGATTGGAGAGGGTGCAGGCTGGGCTAAAGGACAACCCCCCCCACCCCCCTCCATGAATTTCATGCACCAGACCTGTATTCTATAATAATAAAAGCATAATAAGCTAATTAGACTGGACGTCCTTTCGAATGAAGCTGGGGCTGTGAGGGAAGCCCGGGTCCCAGGTGCCAGAGGAAAGCCAGTGCCAGCAGTCGGGGGCGGGGGGGGGGGGGGGGGGGGGGAGGCCTACTCTTTTTTTTTTTTTTTGTAACAATTTCCGATCATTTACAAGCAAGGGGAAAGATTTTTTTATATATATATTTTATTGATTTTTTACAGAGGAAGGGAAAGAGTTAGAGAGCTAGAAACATTGATGAGAGAGAAATATCAATCAGCTGCTTCCTGCACACCCCCTACTGGGGATGTGCCCGCAACCAAGGTACACGTCCTTGACTGGAATCAAACCTAGGACCCTTCAGTCTGCAGGCTGACGCTCTATACACTGAGCCAAACTGGTTTTCGTAGGAAATGAAGGCCTACTCTTGCATGAATTTCATCCATTAGGTCTCTAGAATTGTAATAACTAAATATGGTGTCTGGTGAATGTAAGACTTCCCAGGGGAATCACTTTGTAAGTTATATAAATGTCTAAACTCTATGCTATGACACCAAAAGCAAAGACAACAAAAGAGCAAAATAAATTCAGCTTCCTCAAAAGTAAAGACTTTTTTCATTCAAAAGACACTATCAAGAAAGTAAAAAACAACCCACAAAATGGGAAATTTTTGTGGACACCTTATCTCTGGAAAGACAACCTTCCAGCGACATGCGACACTTTGGACCTTGTGTGTGAATCTTCCACAAAATACCATGGCCTGGGGAGTCTATTTTGAAGAAGTGGCTTTAGAGGAAATTTAAGATTGAAAAATTTGGCTCTCAAAAGAAATTTCGATCCTTGTATTGTTGATATTTAGCTCTGTTGACTAATGAGTTTGCCAACCACTGAACTCTTACATTGCAATAATAAAAGCCAAACAAACTAAACGTTGGCAAACAGAGTGGACAAGTTGCTCCAAAGAAGAGGCACACATGGCCAGAAGCATACAAGATGCTCAACATCAGGGAAACACAATCTCCATCGGCAATGAGATGCCACCCCAGGCCCCGAGGGTGGTGACGGTCTTGCTCCTGTGTCGCTGGGACTTCCCCAGGGTGCCAGGGCTTCCTCCAGCAGATTTATTCCTCCTGGAGGAGCAGGAAGTCTCTGCAGCAAGCCTGCCTGGTGCCTCCCAGGCTGTCCCACTTCCTGCTGTGTGACCTGCCCTCAGTCCCCTGACCTCCCCAACCCCACTTTCCCCACAGAAAAACGGGGAAAGGACCTCGCTCCCAGGCTCTCTGAGGGAGGAGGTAATATTACAATATCACCCTGGGAGGCTACAAGGAAGCGCTGAGCACACGGGGACACAGGGAGCCCCTTCTCCTTTGAGCAACGTGCTTTCCCCGGAGAAGTGAAGGGAGGGCGCAGCCCTTTCCACAGATTCCACTTCAGTCACTAGGAGCCCCTCCTGCTCCCTGCCTGACGCACCGCCCTTCAGGGGGTCCTGTCAAGTTTGTTTCCTGTGATACAGAGGGTTGGCTGCAGGGAAATAGGAAACACTTCTTCCCTTTTCTTGTCATTGCTCCCAGCTTAGCATTTACAGACGCTAATGTGCCAGTCTCTCCAGGATTCCACGTAGCCGTGGACTTGGCCTCCCCCACGATTGAAGCAGTTGATGGGCCTCCAGTCAGACCCTCTGTACAGGCTCCAGGGAGATTTTGGGGTTCCCAGGGCTCCGAGTTGGGGGCAGCACAGGCTCTGCCTCCCGCTGGGAACTGTTCATCCAAACAATGACTCAAAGGCAGAAACAGCAGGTGACTGGGGACAGGCTCAGAGACACCCGGGGCCAGGTGTGAACCTGATGGTGGTGACAAGGCACACAGGTGAGCAAGTGTGTTCCCTTCAAACACTCAGTGTTCCTGACAACCTGGGGAGGGGGGGTAACCTGTTTCACCACTGAGACCCTGAAAGCAGGGAACTCCCAGGACTAATTCGCACCAGGGAACAAGGGTCCAGGGTGTGTCCCTCAGCCTCACATTGGCATCCAGGGCCGGCCACCCAGGCAGGGACACATCCGGTGCCCATGGGGAGGGTGCTGACCCGGGAGGGCTGGCAGCTTCTGGACCAGCCCACGGCACACGCAGAGTCTGGCACAACCGCTGAGCTCCTTTCTCTGTGTTGAGGCCCAGCTGGGCAGGGAGGGGCAGTGGCCGGGAAAGATGGGCCCAGGTGAGAAGTCTCCTTCACAAAGTGCCCAGAGGCCGGAGAGTGGGTGTGCCCGCCCCACGGGACAAGGGAAGGCAGTGGAGGAGGAGCTCAGGGCTGACCTGCGATTCTGTGGGAGGTGAAGGCCCTGACATGAGGCCATTCTCCCCTGAGCTGTGTGGGCAGCAGAGGGCCAGGCCTCCTTTGGAACTGCAGGGCTTCAGCCCTCCCATGGCTGCTGCGGGGCCTCCGCCCCGGCCACAGCTCTGCTTGCTGGGTGGGCAGGGCCCTGCCCAGAGCCTCAGCCTTCCCACCCAGCCTGATCCTTGGAATGAATAAGAACTTGAATTGGGAAAGAGGCATTGGCCTGAGGCAGGGGGTGAGGGCCGGGGCGGGGCCACGTGGGAGCAGAGCTGGGACAGGCAGTTCTGCAGACAGGGGTCTCCTCCTGGCTCTGCTCCTGCCCTCACTGTGGCTCGTCTCACTCTTACATCCGGGGTTCGGGCCCCGCTTTGTCTGTGGGGTCTGTAGCAGTGCTCACAGAGGTGACTGGGGCCCCTCCCTCAGCCTGGATCACAGCTCCCACCAGCCCTGGGCCACACGCACCCAGGTCCTACCGCCCCTGCGGGTGGCGCTGGTGAAAGGGCCCAGGGGTGTGAGGAGGACCTGTTCCCACGCGGATGTAACTCTGCGTCAGCATCTATCACACAGAGCCCAGCCATGGCTGGAGGGAAGGGACAGCAGTCCTGGGTCTTTGAAACCCAATTGTCCCTGAGCCCAGGCCCCAAGCCACAGCAGATGAGTCCGCCTCCCCCAGCTGGACAAGACTGTCCCACACAGAAATCCCCCAAGGGTAAGGTGAACAGAGGATTCTTTCCAAAAATCAGGACTTTTTTAAAACGCTGAGGGACGCAGGACAAATTCTTAAAAATCGGGACTGTCCTACCAAAAGCAGGACATCTGCTCACCTTACCAAGGGACTTGGTATCCTCCCGCCATTTCATTCCCATGTACCCACCTTTAACAGGTGTGTCGCCATTACTTCCTGTCACCCCTGTTCCAGCCTCCCCCCAACCCTCACTCTCAGTCACCCAGTGAGACAGGGTGCTCCTCCTGCAGGAGGCCCAGAGGGACAGCCTGCCCCTGAGGCCCAGCCTGTCCCTCTCCGATCAGGCCTCAGTCTGGCCTTGGGAGAAGAATGACGGGAAGGGTCCCCGGGGATGAGAGAGCTGTGTGCTCCCAGGAGCAGTGGGAGGAGGTCCCTGTCAATCAGGAGGAAGCACTGAGGGTCCCTGTGGGTGCAGAGCGCCCAGGACCTCCCGCATCCTCCCTTCCTCTCAGGTCCCCTCCAAGGAGCAGCGCAGACCCGAGTATGGACACAGCAGCCCAGAGCATTTTCAAACAAAAATATCTTTATTCATATCTGACCCACAATGCCCCACAGGTGCTAGCCCTACCCCCACCCTAACCCACCCCGAAATGGTCCTCTCCTTCCTCCTATCCCCATCCTAGGCCCACACCCCCTAAGGGTCCTGCCCTCCCTCCTACCCCACCCCAGACCCACCCCCCTAAGGGTCCTGCCCTCCCTCCTAACAACCCCAGTCCTCCCTCCAAGGGTCCTGCCCTCCCTCCTGCCTCCATCCTCCCAGGTCAGGGGACCAGCAGGATCAGCCCTGCCATGAGAAGGAGCCCGTGGCTCCTCTGGGGGACAGCCAGGTCCCATCAGGTCTGGGCCCCTCGGGGCGCGGGCAGTGGGGGGCACTCCCCTCTGCTCCATTCTGGCTGCAGTGCCGCTTCCTCCACCTCCCTGGGTCAGAGGGCTCACGCTTTCTCTTGTGAGGCTGTGAGGCCGGAACCGGCCCCAGAGCCAGTGCTGGCCTCCCCCAGACCCCGAGGTCGGCCCCTGGGCGGCGGGTCTTCTCCGCATGGGCGGGGCCGCCCCCCAGAGCGCGCTTCTGAGGCTGGCAAGCTGCAGGGGAAGCTCGGCTGAGGCCTCCTCTCTGCAGGGACCCGGCCTGGGCAGCGCCCCGGGGCCCCCGGCCTCCAGGGCAGGCCGGGCCCGAGGCAGGGCCAGGGCTCAGAGAGAGCGCGCAGGGCAGCAGGCGGCGGGGGGAGGCCCAGAGGAAGGCCAGGCTGGGGAGGTCCTCCTCGTCCTCACGGGGCCTGGCCGCTGGCCCCAGCGTCTCCCTGACCACAGAGGCCTCTCCGGGGACGCAGGAGGCCCTGGGTGCCTGTGCAGAGTCTGCAGGCCGGTGGCCCTGGGCAGCAGCGGGGGGGCATCCAGCCCGGAGCGGTGGCTGCTCCTCAGGCCCCGAAGAGACAGCACCAGCCGGGGGCCGGGAGCGGGGGGCGTCTGCTGGGCCGCGCCTCTGAGGGTCCTGGAAGCCAGTCTCTGGCGGGCAGGCTGTGCCACTGACCCCCAGCTGGGGGCCCTGGTGACGCTTCCGGGCATCTTGGCTGCTCGCAGGCTCAGAAGGACGTGAGTCCCACAGGGGAGCACTGAGACTTGGGGGTGCCTGCTCGCCCCCCTCCTCGGAGGCCAGGAGTCGCCTCTCTGCCAGCTGGAGGGAGAAGGGACAGTGACTGGCGCTGCACACGTGTGAGAGGAGGAGGAGCGGGCGATGGGCAATGGCACTGGGGGGAGGGGAGGTGACACCGTGACTCGAATCCACGACAGTCAAGAGGCTCTCCTCCGTCCCCTGTGCCATATTCCCAGCTTTGTTCTCCCCTTCTGGGCCCCCATCCCCCTCCTCTCTGGAGCTCTCTCCTCCTTGTCCTCCCGCTCAGCTCCCACCCAGGCTGGCCCCTCAGCATGTGCTGCCTGCAGGCAGGGGTGGCGTGGACAGGCTGTATATCCTGGTTCTGGGGTGCTCCCTCCCCTGGCTCCTCCCCAGGCCCATGATCTACCTTGTTCCCTCCCTCCCTGACTCACCAGGGCCTGTCCCCCTCTAACTCCCCCGGGTCCCTGGGTCCTATGGTCACTTGGGGTCCCCCCATCGCCCTAAGGTCGCACCCTGCCCTGGCTCACCTGGGCAGCAGTGAGCCCTTCTTCCTGCTCCAACTCCTCAGCGAGGGCCAAGGGGTCCAGCTGGGCGTCTGGGGAATTCAGCTGCTTCAGGAACTGGGGGTCAATGACCTCCTCCACCTGGGACAGAGGAAGCGGCCATGAGCCCCTTGGCAGGGAGGGAACTGGGAGGCAGCAGGGCTGGAGGACAAGTGGGAAAGCCAAGACCCCCCCCACCCCCGTCCTCCTGCACAGGTGGGTGTTCCCCTCCATCACGGTCATCAGGTACACACACATAAACACACATAGAGAAACACACATGTATACCCAGGTAAACACATACATGCACATACACACATAAGGGCACACACATGAATACAGATACCACACACCACACCCACACGAAGCACACACATGCAGACACAGACATACACACTCTCAGGCGCCCAGCTCAGGAACAAAGAGCAGAGACCCATCCCATCAGCCTGGGGGAACCCGGGTCTGGGGGCAGCAGCACCACCCTCTGGGACCTTGTAGGCTCAGAGCTATGGGCCAGCCCACCTGGGTGACAAAGTCTTCCTGGGAGCACAGCTGGTCCAGGTAGCTCAGGAGACCCTCATCCTGCAGCCACTCCTTCACTTCCTCTGCCCACCCTCCGCCGGGCGCCCCCATGGGCAGCGCCTCCGTGAGGTCCATGTCCTCCTGCTCGGCCTCAGGGGGGATCCCGTCATGTGACTCGGTTTCCCAGGGCGGCTGGACGGTGTGGGCGCGCTGGACGCTGGGTACAGCCTTCCTGGGAGTGGGCGCTGGGCAGAGGGAAGAGGAGGAGCGTGAGGGGACAAAGCTCCCACCTGCAGGGCACGCGATGCGGAGGGCAGTGTTGGGGCATTAACACGGGTGTGACTGTGTGAGGGGAGGCCAGAGAGGAGCACCCAAGAGTGAGGACATGGGGAGCCACCGCAGCCAGCCCGCTTCTCAGCAGACTTCATGTGGGCCCTTAGCAAGGAGTGGGGCTAGGGGTTGAGAAAGGGGACCCGGTCCAGACCCCATGGGGACACAGGGCGCTGAGGCCCGGCTCTCAGGGCTGTTTCCCTTCAAGCCCAAAGCCCCCTGAGGAGAAGGCCATGTGGGGGGACAGGGGCCTGCGCTGGGCCCTGTTGCCTGGGGCCAGGGCTCCTGTGGGAACGTGCTGGCGTACCTGGCTGCGCGCCCACCACTGGGGCTGGGAGCCTCCTAGGACCAGGTCTCGGTGGGGCAGGAGGCTGGGTCTGCGCCCCCTTCTCCAACTGCAACTTCTGAGCCTGCATCTGCTCCTCTGCCTCAAACACCATGAACCTGGGGTGAGGGCACAGGCTGTGCTGAAAAGGAGGCCGCCAGGAGCCCGCACAAGCAGCAGCGGGTGGAGGATGGAGAGCAAGGGCCTTGGGGCTGTAAGGGCCCGGACCCAGGGGAGGCAGGAGGCTGCTGAGCACATTGCTGCACAGCCCCTCTGGCTGGGGTCTGGCCCCCTGGGCGGGCAAGCCCTCCCCAGCCTGTCCTGAGCCTTCATGTCCCGCCCAGGACAGGTCAGCCTCAGAGGAGGGGGAGCTCCCGGGAGGTGGGACAGGAGCACCCATGGTCTGAAGCTGAGGGAGAGGCTTTCCCAGAAGGAAGTGCCTATGGGCTGCGGGGACCCAGTGCTGAGTGACACCCTCCCACCCCCTCCTCTCTGATGAGACCTCACAGCTGGACCCTGCCCCGCAGTCAGCCCCCTCCCCCGGTGTGGGGACCCAGGACCCTGACTCACTTTTCTGCCATCTCAAAATAGACCCTCCGGTCACAGTGGCTCTTGCGCTGCCATTCCTGCATGGCTCGCCCTATTCCCTCCTCCAGCGTCATGGTGGGCTTCAGGCGGGACAGGGGCCGGAGCTCTGGCCTGTAATGTGTGAGGTTCAGTCACCGCCCAGCCTGGCCTCCGCCCTCCTGGCCACCCCAGCTCAGTGGAGCCCGTCCCACCCTCACTTGGCAGGGCTGAGCACCCGCAGGTGAGGGAGGAGGCATCTGTGTGCAATGACAGGCCTTCCAGCTGCTGCTGTCAGGGCCTCACTACACACCAGCCCCTGAACCAGGCCTGGAGGTGACCCTGCACTGGCACCCAAGCTGGGACCCCACCCTCAGGCCTTCCCGCCAGCTTCCCAGCATCAGCCCGCCTGCAGGGCCCTCCCACCCCCTCTGTGATGGGAAAGCTCCAGGGGCGCCCCTGCCCTGCCCAGTGCACTCACATGAGGAAGCAGCAAAGAGCGTCCACATCAGGACTCTGGGGAAGGTGCCCCCGGGCCAGGGCCTTGAAGCGCCGCCAACGACGGAAGTCCTCGTACACACTCTTGGGGTCAGAGGCGTCCAGCGAGGCCTTGGACTGGGAGGCGGCCAGGCCACCCTCCCTGGCAGCCCCGTGTGGTCCCCTTCCGGGGTCCACTCGGGGGACGATGGGGATCAGCTGGGCAGCTGGTGGTGGATCTTGAGGAGGAAGGCTGGGACACCAGCCTCCATCGCCGGCTTGGGTGCCCCCAAAAACCGAGATGGGCATAATGTTCTCCACCACAGTGGCTTCCAAGAATAGGGGTGCAGGACACACAGCACCCCCACAGGCGGCACCTGGAGCGCTCCCGTAGAGGGGGGCCTGGGTCAGGACAATGGTCTGAGTCTGGGAGGGCTGTGGTCGCCTCCCTTCTGAGCTGACCTGGGCCATGATGTTGTAAGCCCCAGTCCCAACAGGGCCTTGACCAGCATCTCCTGCCACCATAGGTGTCCTGGGCCAAGCCGGCAGCACCAGGGGGCGGCCAGGAGGGAATGACGGGGTCCTGGGGGGCGGCAGGTGCTGCTCCCCAGGGGGCCGGTGTGCGGGGCCAGTAGAGGGTGGGGGACAGGGCTGGGCCATGAAAGTAGTCAGGGAGGCACCGGGCTTCAGGCTCACATCCGCTCCCAGCGCTGCAGATGCTGTGGAGACAAAGGAAAGGGGGAATGGAGGAGGAGGCCCAGCAAACAGCACTGAGGCGCTCTGGGCCCCTTTAGCCGCTGGGGAACCAGGGCAGTGAGTCTCACCAGGGAGGGCCCTTTGGATGGGCAAACTGGGGAGGTGGCAAATGTCCTCAGGTCATGCTCACACTCTGACCTCCAGTTGGGAATTATTCCACTGGAGAGCTTGCTCCCCTTTCACCAAGGCTCCCTGACCCCTGTCTGCGAGAAGCACCAGCCCAGCCAGCGCTGCCCTGAGAGCCTCCCTAAGGACTCCCCGGCACCGACCCTGCCAGCCTCAGAGGCCTGGCCCTGAGCGGTAGTGACCTTGGAACTCACATCTCCGAGGTAAGTTCTAGGCACCCAAAGGGCCTCTGAGAACAGCCGTGTCTAACACATTAGGGCCCATCTGCTCCTCAGTCCTCCTCTTCCTCAGTACAAACCGCCCCCTTTCTGTCCTGGGCTTGCACAACAACACAGAAACACTCGAGTGATGTCTCTGCACAAGAAGGCACAGGAACCCTGATCTAACCCTCCACACTCCGCCCAGCATGCACGTGTGTCAGAACCAACAGTGAATACTTAACATGGCCAGGTCCTGCCACTGGGCCCAGGCTCAGGCTGATGGCCACCCTCAGGAGCTCTGTCATTCACTGCCAGCAATGGCTGCAGAGAGTCAGAGGAGGGCCACAGAATGGGACACAGTGGGGCTGGTGGTAGGGGTTTCCACAAACTTCCATAGCTACTGTCCTGTTAGGTGTGTCATGAGACTGCAGACTGGGTGAGGTCCTTCCTCTCCAGCTCCCAACAGTGGGAAGTGAAGACAGTAGGAAGCAGGTGTGAGCCGTGATAGTGGAACAGAGGTGTCTGAACACATCCCCACTCAGAGGAACTAGAGCAGACCTCGTCCAGGAGAACAAACCTCAAGCCGCGCCCTCATTACTCAGGACAGGCGGCCTTGCCCGTCCACACTGACACAGACATGGTCCTCCTGCTGCTGTGCTCCCCTTCCCCCTTTAAAAAAGAACCCCCCCTTTGCAGACGTTCCACGGAACACAACCCACGCTCCACATCTGTTTTCTGTCCCTGAAGTAGGGATGTGGACTGTCAGCAAAACAGTCAACTCAAAGGTAAAGGCAGGGCAGAGGGTGTGCAGGACAAGAGGGAGTCGGGCTGCAGACCTGGGTGGCACGGAGGGAACAATTGGGGACAGCTCAGGGAAGCGGGCCCTGTCTTGGTGGAAGTTTCCCAGCCGCCCTGCCCGTGTGGAATCCCAGCCAACAAGCAGCTCCCTGGGCTGGATGCAGGGGAGAAGCTCTGGGCTACAGCAGGTGGAGGACCTTCCAGGCAGCCCTCAGGAGGACATTTCATTGTGGACTTGAACACACAGCCCCACTGGACCGCTTTCTTGCTATGACCACCCTCCCACTGCCCCCATTGACTCTAGTGCACTCAGCTCAATCTCTTAGAAAGATGCCGTGGGGCCAGTTCCAGGAGCCCCAGAACAGCACACAGGACTGGGCTTTTCCATGACCACCCTGTGCCACCCTGTCCCCCTCCACACTCAGGTATGTCCCTGAGCCACCCTGACCCCCTCTGAGAAGCCCTCCCGGCCAGTGCCATCACAGGTTCCCACTGGCTCCCAGCCTCCCCGGGTGACAGGTGCTTGGAGGTCCAGTGCTCTCTCCTACTTCAGTCAAACCGTGTTTCCCCAGAGTCACATTTCAATCCCAAGTTTGAGGGACAGCTCAGTGTTTAAAACACACCCCCTCCAATCTATAGTCCTACCTCCTACTGAAGCCATCCCCGCGGGCTCATTCAGGGACTACCGCTGCCTAGAAGCCTCCACAACGAGAAAAGTCAAGCCGAGGATCCAGAGAGTGACCTGCTCCAACAGCTGCTCACCATCCAGTGGAGGGAAGGTTGGGATTTAAACGGTAGAATGTGGGGCTCCTGACCTTCTGCAGCGGGGGAGGGGCAGAGGACTGGTTGGCTGGGGTGGTGGGGGCATTCCATGGAGGGCTCTGATAGGTAGGCAAGAACCAACAGTTCCGTTCAAATTTAAAGTCATAAATTTAAAGACACACTAACAGTAATGACCCCAAGGTTAATTTCTAGGCACCCGGTTATTGATGTGTCCTTTATCTTCGTTCTTGACCCATCACCCTAGTTCTGGGTCCCTCAACCTGCTTCCTATCTGGTCTTGGTTTATTTCAACACAGGCTACAATTTCTGAACAAAATTTAGAACATGTTGCCTGAAGAAATAATGGGAACCTATGGCTCAGGGATCCCAGGGTTTGAAATTAGGATTGACCCCACAGAGGCAGCATGCTGGATTTCATTCCTGAGGAAGCTGTCCTGTGCCCCCAAGCTCTGCCCAGTGCTGGGATCCCTGCAGATGCAGCAGGCCCAGCCTTACAACCCATTCCCTTTGCTCCAGTCCATCAGGGCAAGGCCTGCAGCCTACAGGGCAAGACCAGAAATCACCACTTTTGTTTCTCATTGTATTAGGTTGTTCAATGTCTAACTTTTTGCTCTTTGAATGACTTTAATGTAATGTTTTAAACAAATAATGCCTTTGCATGGATCACAACTTGTGCAAAATGGAAAATGTAGTGATGTGTCTTTCTCCTGCCTCTTGCCCCTCTTGCAAATGGCCAGAAAGATTATTGTATAATTTCAGTTTCTTTGGAAAGTATGACAAACTTAAGTGAATAAGTTGATCCTGCTACTATAAGTATGTTTTATTGACTATTGAAATTCTGCAATATAATACAAAAATGTAGGCTGACATTATTCCCATGCTACCTGCCATGTCATGGGAAACTGGTGCAGACTGCCATATTTTGACCAATGTTTGAACAACAACCTTGCAAAAGAAACATCTGTGAAGCAGCTTTTATTGAAAAATCTCCACATACTGAATAAATACAGGAGGGACAGGGTCAGGGTCCTCTTCCTCTGCTGCAAGGACAGCCTTGGTGCCTCTTCCCAGGGTGCCTCGCGCCAGGACACAGGAGCATGCCCACTGGGGGCGGGGCTCTGTCCTACAACTGCTCCCAGCGTCCGTTGCGGCGGTTGGCTCCCATAGGCGCATGCGCTAAGGCGGTTGCTTCCATAGGCGCATGCGCCAAGGCGGTTGCTTCCATAGGCGCGCATGCGCTAACAGCAGGGAGCGTCCCCAACCGCCTCCCAGGCTGCACGTGGGGCCTGGCATGGCGGCCTCTAGAGTCCGTTAGGTGAACAGGAGGGAAGGGGCGCGCGGCCTCCGCACCCCTCAGGTGTCCCCCTCTTCTCTGCTGTTTGCCCCCAGGTCTGTGTTCCCCACCCCTCACTTCCGGTGGTGCTCACAGGGGAATGGGCTCTGACTAGCGGTGCTGGGCGGGCGGTCAGTGTGCGGGGCCTCCACGGGGTCCAGTGATGCCCGTGAGCTGTCCGCCCGGCTCCTCTGTGTCCCCGCTTTCTGGACACGCAGCTCCCGGCAGTTCTTCCGGATCTGAAGGCGCCTCCGGGTCAGCAGGAAGCTGCCCTCATTGGAAATGAGCGGACATGGCGGAGCCTCCCCTCCCCACAGGTCCTGGGGCTCCTTCCCCTTGGAGCCCCTCAGCCCGAGGCTTCCTTCCCCCGCACCCCGCCCTGAGGGCAGCGGCCTTGTGACCACATAATGCCTCTGCCCCGAGGCCTGGGGTTGGGGGCAGGCCTGGGTGTGTGAGGCCTGGGTGTGCTAGGCCTGGGGTGTGTGAAGACTGGGGGTGTGAAGCCTGGGGTAGGGGGCAGGCCTGGGGTCTGTGCCTGTTCGCTTGGTGGAGGGAATCTGAGATGTGGATTCAAATGTGTGCGCTCGCTCTGTCTGTGATCACGGGAAGGTCATGCCTTTGTTTCTGTGAGTGTGTAGGGTTGAGTGCTGTATTTGGAGGGTGTTGAGATGTAGTGCATGAATACTCAAGCAGTGGGTGGTAATGTGTTTGTAATTTGGTGTTTGCTGAAATGTTACCCGTTTTGTTTTTCCCCCTTTGAATTCCGGGATTTTTCTACTAGCAGATTTGGAAGGATTATAGGCATTTGCATAGGGCAATGTTAGGACAAGTGCAGGCGTTCATTAGCTTGGGTGTATGATCTGTGTTTTGTATTTGGGGAATGTAAATTGTATTGTGTATTCGGGGCATGTTGTAATGTTATGTGTATTTCTTTTTGTGATCTTTGCCTGTTTCAGTGCAGGTCTGTGACTATGTTTAGGACTGGTAGGTCTATATGCGAATGTGCAGTAGTGTTAGTGCGATTCGGTGTGGTGTGTGTGTGGCTGTATTCTGTAAGATGGAAGAGTTAATTCTGTGGGAATTTGGGAGTGTGGGGTTCTGTGTACGCAGGTGGTGTAGCATGAAGTATATTTGGACATAAGTATAGGGAGGTGGGTTTGCATATTTGCAGTGCACTGGGTGTTCGTGGGTCTATTTCGGGCTTGTGGAGACTATGTGTGTGGAGTTGACATGTGTATTCCTGTGTATTCCAGGGCCATGGCCCTGGGGAAGGATATTTGCTGGAGCTACGTGTTTGTATTTTTCAGAAGGGACTCCTAAGGCGGACATATTTTGGGTACCGGGTATGTGTGTATTTGACGGGGAGAGGGGTTTCTATGCTTATAGAAGGGAGTGGGAGGATTGTGTCTACTATGTATGGGAGGTGAGTGATAAGGTTATTGGTTAGTATTTGTTGATTTGAGAGCTGACTCATTAGGTAATTTGGAAGTTATTTCATATCTGATTTGCTGGAGATACTTCTGCATGCCTTGTCCATGTATACTGGTATGTGCTTATATCTATCACCAGGTGCTTGAATTACCAGTATGTTCAGGGGCTCTTAGGTGTATTTAAAGTATATTTCTTTGGAGAATACTAAAGTATTGCATATGTATTTGCTAGAAGTTAGCATGCAGTGGTCTGTATATTCAGTGATGCTGGAGAAAACATGTGTACAGTGTGCTTTTCTTACATACTGCAGAGGGGAGGTGATGAGGTTATATTCTGGGGAGGCGGCATAATGCATAGTGTTTGAGGGGTGTATACATCCAGGTATTGGGAGTGTGTGTGTGTGTTTCCATCGGTGTGTGAGAATTGTGTATGCACATTAGTGAAGTTATAGGATTGTCAGTGCTTTTGTGTTTTGCATGTTTCTGTCTGAGCATATGGGGTGTATATTCATGAGTGGTTTGAGGTCTGTGTATTTGGGATTTGTAAAATAACCCACTTATCTCCATGGAAAGCAGGCTTAGGATCTTCTTTGCATCTGTTCCAGAATGTAATGCTTGCAGAATTTGGTGGTGGTGCTTGTATGTGTCCTTCTCAGTGTGTGTAAGGTGGACTTATATGTATTTGATAAGTAGTTGTTTGTGACTGTGAATGTATATAAGTTCCTGGAGTTTGTGGATGGGCTGTCTATTCTAGGGAATGTGAGTATTCACTTTGCGTGTTTGCAAACAAAGAGGCTGTCCAGGGTGTGTGTGTTTGTGTGTGTGTTCTGGAATCATGGAGTATGTGCATTTTAGGGCTGTAGGGTTTCATATGGATCTTTTTTAGGTGACACACAAGACAGTTGTGTATATGATATTTTTAGAGTCTGAAGTATTCAGTATTCAGTGTGTATATCTGGGTAGTATGTTGGTTGCCCATGTTTGTATACCGGCCCATGTTGTGTGTGTATATAATTGTAGGGGTAGAATGTGAATATTCAGGATGATTAGAGTTTTGTTAATAACAATTTAGGTACTAAGAAGTGATCTATCTGTATATTCAGGGATAGTAAGGGTAGAAATGAACATGTGTTCATATATGTAAATTTCTGTTTATATATCTGGGTGGGAGTGGAGCTTTCTACTCCAGGTGTTAGTGCCTTGTACACACATAATCATATGACAGGGGATGGGGTGCACTGGAACTGGCTCACACTAGCTTGGGATAGTTGATGTTGCATATTTCTCTGGGGCTCTGTTCATCAGGTGGGTAGCTTGAAATTAGTCATGCTGGAATATTTGTACCAGGTACTCACCACAAATGATGTCTTTCCTGCATCCTCCTGAGAGTGGTCAGCATTCACCAGCACCCCACTTGTGTATGTGTATGTCTGGATGCATGTGTGTCTGAAGCAATAATATTCAGGTATCTGTGGGCATATGCTTGGGAGGCTCTCCATGAATTGCAAGTGAGGCATCTGGGGCTGTGGGCCCTCCTATGTGTGCATGGACCCTGGTCATTCTGCATCATTGCATTGCTCTTAATCAGGCTGATCCATTCTTTAGGGCCTAAGAATCCCATAGGTGTTGGTGATTTCTGGCCCCTCTTCCTACAGATGGATTGGGGTGTCTGTCCTTTAGGCAGGTGAACATTTCTTTATTCTTTAGCATTTGTATGGTCCTGGCATCAGGGGCCCTAGATGGGTGTGCCTGGTAGACAGATAGCCGTGCAGAACAGAACCTTCACAGGTGTACTGCTGGCCTGACAGGCTGCAGTCAGAAAGATGGAGGAGGGGGATTCCTGGACAGGAGGTCAGATGGTGAAGTGTTACCATTGGCAAATTCCCTAAGAATCAGCTGGGCAGGTACTGGTGTTACTGAGCTAAGTTACTGGTGTTCTGGGTTAAGGTGAGTGGGCAAGGACAGCTTTCACATGGGGTCCAGATGGTGAGTTGTGTTGCGTATCAGGCTGGTCAGTGATGTCACTAGTTCTTAACCCACTTATCTCCATGGAAAGCTCAATCCTTTTGGATAAGAAGGACTTTAGGGGTCAGTGATGTGACAGGGATGGAGGTGAAGAGGCTTTGTCCCTGAGGATGGCTAGGGGCTGACACCCGGAGAGATGGGAAGTCCCACTCTGAGGACATATATGACTGACATTTCTGAATGCTTTAGACATGCTCTTCTTTGTTATCTGAAGGTTCAGGATGATTCTGGCACTGAGATGAATCACATGTCACAGATAGGATGACATGACCCTCTTTGCTCTATGCCATGTTGATCTGCAAAGCACCAGAGGGAACCACATGATGAGTGTAGCCACCAGCTGACCCCACAGCTGCTCCTGCCTCTCTTAATCCCTCCCAAGAATTTATTATAGTGAGTCTCCTTCTGGTCTTTTCTCTTCAGTGGTGGATCCTCCTGCCAACAGAATGTACCCCTCATTTGTTAAATGCCCCAATAACTGCTTGTCTGAGTATAAGCAGATTCCTAGTAACTCTCACTGTCTTCTTCATAACCTAGCTCCAATAAAATGACTGTGTTGTACTGATCATATAGTAGGTTATTGCCAGAATGGAGCCATGCATAGTTTTATATTTTAAAATGTTATATATATATATATATATATATATATATATATATATATATATATATATATATGCCTCAGTGACTGTGCAACAGGTCGACTGGTAGCTATGACATGCACTGACCACCAGGGGGCAGACACTCACTGTACAGGCATGGAAACATGGAACCAACTGATGAATCTCAGAAGGAATGTGGGGAGAGGATTTGTGCACCACGGAGGTCCCTTGGCTTGGCCTTCAGGGATCAGGCTGAATCTGTGCACCCCACCTCCAACATCCTCTGAGGAGTCCCAGATTGCAAGAGGACACAGGCCAGGCGAAGGGACCCCACCAGTGCATTTAAATAAACATGCAGTATAATGTAGACTTGTTACAAGGTAGGTGTTCTTGGGTTGTTTGTTGAAAAAAATTTTGCTTTGGTTCTGAAATGGGAAGGCATGGCTCTGAGTTTTCTGGGTGAGGGACAGGAGTACCTTGGTATCTTGAATCAGCACTGAAAACCCCAACCAGGTGCAATTAATGCAAAATGCTAGAATGGCTGGGCATGGTCAGAGCTCGTCTAGGGTTCAGGATCTACAGAAGGGGCCACACACAAATTAAAACACTAGACATGAAATATGAATGTAGAAAGCATGGGGCCAGGTGGAAACCCCTCTCTAGTGGAGAAGCTCACTGAAGCCCTGGACCTGTCAGCTTTTATTTTGAACACACATTTGCCCTTTAAGAATGCATACAGGCATATTAGGGAATTGCCTTCAGCCATTGAGCCCACAGCAGGGCAACATTATTCTGATTCTCAGCCTTTCTGAATATCAAAGTCCAATGGCCTTCCAATGGGTCTTTTT